ATTTAATGAAAACCTTTTATCATTTCCAGCACTTTCCTTTATCTTTCTGCCAAATAACATTTACAAGTTTTCTCATTCAAAGTCTTTTTATTTCGAAATCTCTTCATTAAAGCTTTACATTTCAATGCTTTCTTTACATTTCAAGCACTTTACATTTCAGAAAACTGTCATACTTTTTATGCCTTTATCTTCAAGTTTTGTCTTTCGAAAGTCTATTTTTACTTAAAGTCATTTACAGATTTCTTGCATTAAACGCTTTCTTCATATTTCAAATCTTTTACGTTCTAGAGCATCTTTTACATTAATTGTTTTTATAATTCGAAGCCATTTACTTGCTTTTTATGCAATTTCACATGTCTTTACAATTAACATTTATTCATGCAAGTTAGTTTCGCGCGCATATTTTGATTACACCTTTAGATCTTTAAGAGAGAAATCGAAATAAGCCAAACACCTATACAACACTCAAATACCAACCATGAATATCTATTCGATCATGAGAGTTACCCTAATGACCAAGGAATCCTAGGATCAATCTAGTCGATCCTGTGAGTTACCAAAGAAATTGAATAACAGTCAGTAAGTTTATTCGATAGTTTGGAAGACTAGCGGTTGTTTACCAGAAATCACTGGAAACAAGGGGGGAATACAAGTTTGAATGGCGATTTGCACAAATATAAAGCTAAATATATTATTACAACCAAATCGAACTTGCGCGAATTAAATAAATATAATACAAATATTTAAAATGTAATGCAATATGTATGTAAAGAAAAGATTTTTTATGTCTTGCTTTTGTGTAAAAGAATATTTAAATTAAACCCTAAAAAATATAAGAAAGAAAATAATTAATTCTTTTTGAAAGGGATTAAACCCTAATTTTCATTTAAAAGAAAATAATGTTTCTATATTATTATTTTGTGCATTTTTTGTATACAAAATAAATAATATTATATATAAATATTAAAAATTAAATATGTGCAAAAAATAAGTATTTGTAAATAGGAAATGTAAAATAAAAATATTAAGTATATTTAATTATTTTATAAGTTTATTAAGAAAATAAATTATATTCTATCAAAATAAATTATATTTTTTATGTGAGAAATAATAAAAAAATAAAATAAAAGTGTAGAAATAAATAAATTATTTTTTAGGGTTTTTATCATTAAAGAAAATAATTAAATATAAAAATGAAAAAAAATAAAATATGAAAAGAGTTAGCAGGGGGTGTAATAGCAAAACAGTGGTGGTATTTAGCAAAAACAAAAAGTCCAAGCAGCAAAAAGCCCAGAACCACTTCATCCTTGTCCGGTCTTCCTCTTCTTCACGCTTTTGCCAGTCAACCTGTAACTTCCTCATTCTTGCATAAAAATGAAAACTTATAACATGAAAAATGTGGCATTTGAGCTCATGATTCCAACCATATAAATTATGTAACCTAACTATCAAAGATCAAAGAGAATTTTGAAATCCCTAAGTCGTGACCAAAAATTTTCAGAGATTTCAAACTCCAAATTCTCTTAGCACAAGTAATATAAATGCAATATAATGATATGTACAGCTTCGTTATGATGAGAGCTCCATTTTTTATTCACAAATCGTGGCTTGAGGTTGCCTGTATAAGGAGATAGAGTTTGAAAAAAATACCTCCTTCAGTTGGAATCGTGTATGGCAATGTAGGGACTTTAAAGGAGGCCTGATGATTGCTTGAGCTTCCTTGAGCTTCCCTGAACCTATTCCAACTCTTACCTTGCTCTGAAGATGGCTAGAACTCTTTGACCAAGTCCAACTGCAAGCTTCAAAGTTAACAATGGCAGATGGTGAAACAGAGGTTACATAATAGGGATGATGGCTTGGATGTGTTTGATATCTAATATGCAAGATGTTTGGATAAGTTAAACACAAAACGCACGAGCCAAATGAGAGTTGGATGAGTTTGTGCAGGAGCTGTATGTTTGGGCAGTTTTTTGGTGTTTTTCAGTTCTAGAGAGTTTCAGGTCCAAGCCAGGCGTGTAATGTCTTGTACATTGTTTGCATATTAGTATAGAAGTGATCCAAAGTCAGCTCTCTACTAGCTGTGTAAGCCTTAGCCTTTTTTGCAACTTTTCTTGTACTTGAAGCAAGTTGACAAGACCAAACCCATATGCTTGTACCAGCTTGCTTTAGGGTTGGTATGAGTTTGTACAAGTTGCTTGAGACCTGTGTGGTTTGCTTGTATCAAGGGGACATGTTCAAAGCTCCAAGTTGACAAGTTTGCAAAAGTGCTTCTTTATGAAAATGGCAATGGAGCCTTTTTGCCCAAAATGGAAATACAACTTGTGTAAAAGTTCAAAAGCAAGGATAATGGCTTTATCAACTGAGTATGCATTTAATTAAGGAGTGTGTATCAAGTTTAGGACCTGTAAAACAAGAAATAGCCAACATAAGTTTGGTTTGCAACTTGGTTCTTCATGGAAATGGCTTGAACAAAAAGTGAGAAAATGCCAACTTCCTCTCTTCGATTCTCCCTACTCAAAAATGATCTTGGAGAGTTCTTGGACATTTTGGAAAGATTTCAATGTGTTCTATAATCCATCTTTGAAATGAATTTTGAGATACCTCTTGGAACTAGGTGAAAAATTTCCATGAAGTTGGGTCCAAAACCTGCCTAAATTAGGACAAAATTTCACTAAGTTAAGAAGTTCATGGCCATGTATTCACAAATTCATAACTTGAGATCCAAGCATCTTTAGGGAAAAGTTTGTGAATCAAAGTTGTAGATTTCATGGAGGTCTACAACTTTCATGTAGGGGACTTTCCTTGAATCAAAATGCATCATGGTGAAAAAGTGGTGCAAAGTTGAGAAAAAATAAAAAAAAATTTATACTTAGAAAAATTCTAAGTTATGAAAATTTTCAAATTCAAAACCCTAATTTTCAAATTTGGTTTTCTTGGTGAACAAGTTTCACATTTTGACATATCTTGATGAATTATGACCCTTGGTACTTGATTTTGACCAAAAAGTCAAAGTTTGACTTTTCAGTGTACAATTGACTTTTGATCAGTTGACTGCAAATTTCATCTGTCAATTCAATGAACTTGAGATGTTTTGAACCATGTAATTAAGTCAAGGTGATGCCATTGAATCTTTTAAATCATTCTTGAACTCAATTGGTCAATTGCTAGGTTAAAAATCAGAAATTGCCCTTCCTCAGTCAAAACCCTAATTTTGACCATTTTGCCCTTTTGATGATTTGATCAAATTTCTTGAAGAGTTGTAATCCAAACTTGATCAAATGGTACGTATGAGTCTAAAATAATGACGTGGATAAAAAATTATGGAGTTTGACTGCAAATTGGCCATGGTTGACTTTTCCTTCAATACAGCTGATTTTTAGGTCAACTGTCCAATTGACTGATCAAAATGTGGTTCAAGGCTTGAAACTTATCATGAACAATCTTAGGGGTCCAAAATGATGTATGAGAGTCAAATGAAGCATTAGTGATCCAAAAATCCTTGTGCAAACTCAAACCCTAATTTTGGGTTATCAGTGCAAGGTGAGATGTCTTGAGCTGACCAAACCCTAATCTTGTCTTGAGTCAAAGAAGTTTTGTGAGAAAAGTCTTGATAAAAGAGATGGGAAATTTTGGGGTACAACATTATGAAACTGGCAACTTTATATAAATATATAACAATAAAAACATGCAATGTGTGAATGTGTAGGGGTGCATACCAGGGGTGACAGTCCTCTCAAAAATCATATCCAACAATTCAAATGAAGTCTCGTATTTTTTTGGACTAAAAACGATATTCATTCAAATTGATAGAATACATCAAATATTACAAATTCAAAATTGCTATAAATTGAAAAGGATGAATCTGTGAACAAACTCACAACACCCACATTAATAACATATAACGATAAAATGCTTACAAATGTGACAAAACCTATAAATATGACGAAATTAAAATGTTCGAAATACATATGTCTTCGAGCCTACAATGTTGACGACATTAAAGTCATTGGTTGAATATGCACTGAGTCGAAACTAATTTATTAATCTGAATCGAACAAACACCATACTAAGACGGGAAAATAAAATAACGAATGACGAAGAAAAAAAACTAAAAATATACTACCCAATATTTTAAAAACTGAATCAGAGAATAAACCGATAAAACGTGTGGGTCAAAGTTCATTCAGTTCAACCGATTAAACCGTGGTTGAACTGCATTTTAAATTTAAACAAAAAAATTAAATAAACATATTATAAAATATCCTAATAAATTATTTTATATCATAATTATAAATTAAATAAAATTCTCAAACAAATATAATAAATAATCTTACAAAAGAAGAAGAATGCAATGTAACACTCAATAAGAAATCAGAAAATTAATTAAGGGCTAATAGTTATATATTTGTCTTGATTTTTTAACTCACACAATGTGATTCAACATTAATACAAAAACATCATTTCTCCAATTTGGTTTCTTCATGAGCATAATTTTTCTCATCTCTTTCAAGATTAACATCACTTACCTCATGTCCACAAATACTATATTATTTCTTCTCCATATATTTGTATTTACATTGTCTCATGTCTTTCAATTTTATTTTTTATCTTCCATCTATATAATTTTAAGTGTTTGTTATAATCAATTTTTTATATCTAAACAAAGAAAATAAGAGAAGTAAAACATAAAAATCATCTTTAATTTTCTGAACCAATTGATTAAACAAAATTGGTCAATTATTTTAGTCCAAATTGAACCAGATTAGACAACGGTTCAAGGTTGAACCGGTTCAACCGAACTGTTCAATCCGACTTTTAAAACATTGATAGGACCTGAAACCACTTAAAGGAATGGAAAAAATTTAGACTACATTAGAGTACGCCTATGCGTGTAATTAATATGTTCACAATTTTCAAACAAAACAAAATCAAATCAATCGACGATTCGTTAATGCTTATAACCGCCGTCGGCTAATCCCTTTCCACCAACCTCCACCACGATGACACCGTCTCAAGAAAAACGCCACCATTCCATCTTTGAACTTCCCCCAAACTACTTCGACTCTTGTCGTCTTCTCCCTTCACCCCACTCTTCAGTTTCCGACCTCTACGCAAATCACGAAACCCTCCAATTACCCTCTAACGACGCCGTCGTTTTGGGCACTAGGTTAACCTGCAATACCTGTAAGGCTCAGTTCGATTCCCTTCAAGACCAACGTTCCCACTTCAAATCCGATATTCATCGATTCAATGTAAGATTCATTCCATCCCTCTATATAATTCATTATTTGCTTTCAGCACCCTATTTCCAGTTTTTGGATTTTTTTGGTACAGTTTAGATATCCATTTTAATTTTTGAGGAAAAAATTGAGTTTTGGAAATTGGGTTTTAGGTGAAGCTGACAATTGCTGGGAAACATATTGTGAAAGAAGATGATTTTGAAGTTCTGACATCTGATTTTGTTAAAGACTATGATGTGTCAAGTATATCTGGATCAGAAAGTGATACCGATGACGACGATGATAGTGAAAATGAGGGTCGAGCTCGAAGTGTTGTGCGTGGTAAGTACGGTGAAAGCTTTAAACAGAAGCTGTTTGTTTGTCTTCAGACAGGGCAGAGAGTTTCTGTGTGGAAGTGTTTGATTATGAATGTGAGTGAGAATGTTGTGTATGAGGATGAACAAGTGCAGAAGAATTTGGGTGAGAGGTTGAAATCTCTGACTGTTGAGCCCAGGGATAATAGCCGTTTGAGGATTGTTTTGCTTGCGTCTGGTGGGCACTTTGCGGGATGTGTCTTTGATGGTGAAACGGTCGTGGCTCACAAGACATTTCACAGGTTAGCAAATGCTGTTTGTTACTAAGTGTTTTCAAATAAGTTGTAGTTTATCACTTTTTGTATGATTTGTCAAGTAAAAAGATGGTTGGAGGTTCATTTAGGTGGGCTCTGTGGAGTGAAGATTAACATTATATGCATGAGCATGATACACCATGTTAAAACATTATGTTGACAACATCCCTTTTCTCAAATGACTTCCAATCAATTTTACATATTTTCGCTATCCTCATTTTGGATTTCTATAGCGAGCAATAAGCACTTGTGATTGGGTGCAATAATACTCTGAATTTGATATTTGTGCGATACGAGATATTGATGGTGTTAGAAAAGACTAAGCACTGTTACCTATTTATACTTGTGCTAGACTCATAATTTTAATTGAATTAGGTTTCAACATAAAATCTACAGAAATATGACAGCCAGTTAAGATATCACCTACAATATATATTAAGATACAATATCATTTTATGAGATGTTTTTCATATATAATATATTCCTTTTTGAACGAAAGCAAGATCAATTCATTTCTTCAATGATCAACGGGTACAAGAATGGGGGAACATCATAAAAATAGTGGGGAATTGTATGAGATAGTGAAGCTCTAGCTAGATTAGGAGCTACTCTATTGACTGGTCTCCTAATATGAGCCACTTTCTAATCAGTGTGAGCATCAAGAATAGCTTTACATTTGGATAATATTTCACCGAATTCATGGTTAGTAAAGCCATGGATGATATCGACAATTGACTTGTTATCTAGTAGTCGCTGGAAGCCCAATATGTGTGCCTGCTGCATGGCTTTGAGAAGGCAACCGCTTCTGTGACAGAAAATTTGCATCGAGACAAAGCTGTTTTTCCTATAACAAGTGAACCCGCCGAGTCTCTGAAATAGAAACCAATTCCAACCAATGTTAGAGTGAAAAAAAAAACGTAGTCCAAGATGAAAATGAATGTGTATAACCTCTACATTCTTCTTGTAGTATGTTGACACTGTTCAGCTTAATTTTACACGGAAGTATGGCCTATATCGTTCCTCACAATTGTTGACCCAAAGCCTATCTTTCTATTTCCTTATTCATTTTTATTGTTACTAATTATATTTAATGAAAAATTGTAAACGGAATTTCAAGAATTGTGTGTATTCTTAAACTCTTACCATTCATATGCAGATATGTTGTGAGGGCCAAGGCTGGGAAAAAACAGTCTACAAATGATGCTTCTGGCAGGACTGCACATTCTGCTGGTGCTTCACTTCGTCGTTATAATGAACTTGCATTAAAAAAGGTTGTTTAATCAAAGCTGTTTTGCTTTGCTTGCTAATCATTTTTCTCCATTCAAACAATTTTTTTACTAGCTCTTTGGTGTTCTTATTTTTTTTTAAAAGTGACACTAATGGCCATTTTACAACCACCGCCTCCGAGGGAATTTGACCTCAGTACCTTAAGATTATACGGCTAAGTCTAAGCACTGAGGTAGCATCTCAAGTGCATAATGGTTAACAAATGTGTGTTTACATATAAATTGTTATACAAGGTAACAATGATAATTGGCCCTATTGGTCATAATTTTGCCAAATTGACTGTTGTATTCTTCTTCCAATTATACTTACAGATGCATACTTGTTCGGATACTCATGGAATTGCCGAAAAATGTTTTCTTATATTACCTTTTTTTTTGTTTGTTTGGATGCATGTACATGTGTGCGCAGTGAAATGTAAATCTGGACTGATTATTGGCATGCTAATATTGTAGGAAGTTCACGAACTGCTTACTGCTTGGAGACCTTATTTTGATGCTTCTATTTGCATTTTTATACATGCACCTTCAAGTAGTCGTCAACTCCTTTATGACGGAGAAAAGCCATGTTTTACCAATCCTCAATGTGCCAGAAATATTTCTATGATTGTCCGCAGGCCCACTCTCAGGGAAGCAAAACGTGTATATGGCCAGTTGACCCTAGTATCCTATGAAGCAGATGAGAAGGAAATTTTACAAAGCAATCAACAGGACGCGGTGCCACCAATTCGTATTGCTAAAGGAAATGGCGCCCCACCTGCCAGCAAAGTGGACATGGCTGGATTGGATAAAAACAACAAAGCCAAAGCTGGTTCCAGTAACCAAAATGATGAACCTCTTATATCGAGTAACGATGAAAGTGAGAATGACCTATCTAGTAAGTCAACTCCTTTACATCAAGCAGCACAATCTGCTGACTCTCAAAAGGTTATGGAACTCCTGGAACAAGGCTTGGATCCATGCATCAAAGATGAAAGGGGACAGACCCCGTATATGTTGGCACTTGACAAGGAAGTCAGGAACACTTTCAGAAGGTTTATGGCTTCAAATCCTGACAAATGGGATTGGAATGCTGCAAAAGTGCCTAGTGCATTGACCAAAGAAATGGAAGAATCACAAGCTGCTAAGCAGGTGATTTTGATATTTCTAAGAATAAATTTTGTTAAATGATTCACAATCAAATTGTTGCATTTTTTTAACTGTGGACACTTTTCTCTGCATTTGATGACTAGCTGATAAATATTATTGGCATTAAAAGAACAGCCGGGGCATAATAAGTATGATTGGTTGAAAAACATATCCTTCATTTTAGGGAACCTTATCTGCGATTAAGTTTCTTGCCAGTCCCCATTTGACGTGACTCATGGAGGTTTTGACTTTTATTGATCCAATCTAAGAACTCGTGGGGAAGAATAATTATTGTTGCTTTGTGCTTGTACAGGCAGAAAAAGATGCCAAGAAAAAAGCTAGAGCAAAAGAATTGAAGAAATTACGGAAGGCAAAAGAAAAGAAGGCTCAGGTACATTTTTATTCTTTCCATCTCTATGTAGCATGATGACCTCACATTAGTTTTCTAGGACTTGTTTATAATAGATACTGCCATAGGAAGTCAATAGCACCACTATTGTGTCAGAGCTGCTTGTGGCCTTAGTGGATTCAATCACGCCTCATAAGCCCATGCTGTTGGCAGGGCTACAGAGATGGGACATCAAAACCCCCGAAATACCCTTTAAAAGGGACATTATTGAGGGGTACTGGGGCGTTTTGGGCTTTTTTGCTTCCAATTAGGGCTTTAGAGTTCTCACAGAACTCGCAAAACTCACTATCTCACCTTCAAACATTAAACCAGAGAAGCTGCTCCACACATCCTACATCCGTTGACCCAGCAGCCGGTGACGCAACATCCAGTGATCCCAGCAACCGGCAACCTAGCATCTCGCGGCCGGTGGCCTGTTTCTTCTCTGTTTCTGGCGGCTTATTTCTGGTCTTTGTGTGTGTCTGGGGCAAAATGATCATGGAGAGAGGAAAACAGAAACACAGATAAAGAAAGACATTGACGCTTCCTGTGAAGGGTGATAAAGTGTGACTATATGAGTCTTATTTTTTTTCTGTTCGAATGGAATTAATTTTTATCAAATTGTTTTTATGAGATATCATGTCTTATTATTGTCTTTAAAAGCTTTGGTTTTGTAATTGTAATTTAAACAATATTAACAGGTCAAAATTACTTTATCTAATTGCTGAAATTTCCCTTGTTATTAGTTATTTCTTCATGTGTATATTCTATCTGTCCCTATGTACACTCTTCAGTCATTTTTTTACTTCAATTTATTAGGGTTTATCTTAAAAGATTTGAGAACTATCTTGACAGTGTTGACATAGTCTGACTAGAGTGAAAACGGGTACCCACTCCTTCAAATAATATTCCTCTATCCCCCTTTCGGCTACCGAATATCACACAATTAGCTTGTTATTGAGTGCAGTGCAAATGTGCATGAACAAATGAGCATTCTTGGGAATTATGAAAATGAAAGCAACTCTCTTCTCTCATATTTCCCCACCGATTTGCAAATTCAAATTCTCATTCTTTGTTCTGATGCTTATGGCTTTGGATGGCTACAGATATTCTGAAGAGTTTTTTGTAGAGAAGCTTTGATTTGCCATTTTGTGTTTCAATCATATACAGTTTTGACGCATATTGTTGTCGATATCCGTTGCGCTGACAAATCTTGAATGTGGTTTTCAGGCTGAAGCTGTTGAAAAACAAAAGATTCAAACATCTGCTACAGGACAATCACAGCCAAAAAGTGGTGTGAAATTATCAAAAGAGGTTAATACTGATTATTTGCTGGCTCAATATAAACAAATGCTAATTTAGGTGTTTGGCACACAAATAGAACAAAAAACAGACAGAGGAACAAATGCTAACTAGTAGATTATGTGAACTGTTTAATGTTTTAATTTTCTGGATTTTGTTTTATCTTAAAAATGAACAGGAGGAAATGAAAAGAGCACAGGATGAAGAAAGAGAAAAGAGAGCAGCTGCTGCTGAAAGAAGAATGGCTGCCCTCAAAATCCAAGCTGATAATAGCATATCAGAGGCTAATAAAAGTGGATTAGCTGGTGACATAGTCTGTTCCTGTTGTAATTCATCACTTGCTGGTAAAGTTCCCTTCCACCGGTATAATTACAAATACTGCAGCACTTCATGCATGCATGTACACAGAGAAATCCTAGAAGATGGATGACAATGTATCTCCATAATTACTGTGTAATTTTTTATGTAAGTTAAGATTGCTCCTAATATCCAATTGTTTATTAGAAGCTGGAATAAGCAATGGCATGGTGAAATGAATGAATGGTTAAAATCACTTAAAACCAGTCTTTTGGCAATTTTTAGTAAGAATTTGAAATGCCTTAATAGGCGCATTGATTTTACATGAAAACTTTTTTTCTTTCCCAAATCCTAAAATCTTGTGAGATTTAGAAATGATTATATGAAGGGTAATGCTATCATGTGTTCCAAGGGCACATGTTAGGAGTTAAATATGAAAAAAAAAATCTTGGAAATTGTGCATTGTTTTAGTTAAAAGTTTATAATTAATTTTTTTTATTGTTTTTTTCAATTCAAACTTTCTATTTTAAGGTTGTTTAGGGCACCTGTTAGCATTACTCTTATATGAAAATGATTTAGAAGTGATATACAAATGACATTTTTCAGTTATTATCTTTGTTGGTAATGTGCCTAAAACGTCATTGCGTATAATCCATCCGGTCACAATTGTAAATCAAAATATCTATTTTTAAGGTAATTAAAAAAGTTAATATTAAGAGTAATTAATTTTTTTGATTTTATGTACCGTTAATATAAATTTTATTATAATATTTTTAATTATATTTGATGAATCAACTATCACAAGCTTACTAAAAATTAGTGACCAAGATTTAAATTCATTTTTTTTTTGTTTACTAAGAATTAGTGACCAAGATCTAAGTTTTTTTCCTAGCAATGTGATATTTTTTTAAAAAGAATTGATTATAGTATCAAAGAGATTAACATGCCACCTCTCATATTATATATGTTACTCTCTCATTTTTCATTATTTCCAAAAATGTCATTTTTATTATTTACTCTAAAATTTATATCTTTTGTCAAAAAAAATTTACTATGGGTCAAAGAGGATAAAAATCAAAATTTCTGGTACCGAATTTTGTCACATACAGGAAATTCTTTGTATTCTACAAATTTTCAGTTGTGATTAACCGGAAATTTCAAAAAATTTAGTTGCGATTCATCGAAAATTTTGAAATTTTTGGAACATTTTTCAAAAGCCATCACATATATCGGAATATATCAGAAATTTGAAATTTCCTGTTGAGTGCATATGCTACGGTAAAAAAAATTGGAAATTCAACAAAATTTCTGGTATTTTTATGAAATTTCTGTTATGAAATTGAAAATTCTTAAAATCCGATATTTTACTGGGACGGTTTGGTAAAAGCGCCTCGGAATTGAGAATTTAACATGTCACCTCTAAAATAATTCATGGCACCTCCCTAAAAAATTTTATTCCACTTTTACTCTTGGATAAGTAGAACACAATTTTCGAACGAAACTTTTGGTAGAAGGATTGAAATTTCGGGTACACTCCTACGAAATTTTCGATAGTGTATTTAAAATTTTTGGTGTGCCTGAAATTTCAAACTAATTGAAATTTTCGGTAGTAATAAAATATGGCAGTAATAAAATATGATAGACAAAAATTAAACTACCAAAAATTTTGTTAAAATTTCGGATATTCTTTGACGAATCAGAAAATTTAAATTTTCCAGTATAAATGATAAACAAAAATATCAGATATTTTAAAATTTTCGGTACGAAAATATCGAATATTTTGAAATTTTCGGTACAAAATATCAGAAATTTCATAAATCTATCGTAAATTTCCACTTGTTCGCGAAATTTTCGGTATCGCCCAAGAAATTTTTGGTATCACCCAAAAAATTGAAAAATTCGGTCGATAACATGAATTTAGAATCTGTGGTGAATGATTTGGGTATGGACAATTTAGTTTTTTCATACCATTTAGGGGGATGTCATATATAATGTGGGGTGACAAATTAATTTCTCCGTATGAAAAGATTAAAATGTTCATACTTAAATCATTTACCACAAATTCCAAATTCACATTGTTAATCGGATTTTTCAATTTTTTGGGTGATACCGAAAATTTCGAAGGCGATATCAAAAAAATTGCGAACAAGTGAAAATTTACGGTAAATTTGTGAAATTTTTGGTATTTTGTACCAAAAATTTTAAAATATTCGGTATTTTCGTATCAGGAATTTCAAAATATATGTATTCTCATTTATCATTTATATCGGAAAATATCAGAAATTTTGAAATTTCCGATAGTTCAATTTTTTTTGAAAAAATGTCGGAAATTTAAAAATAGTACAACAAACATAAAACACAACAACAAACATAACTCTAAAACAACTAAACAAGAAAAACTAGGCACTCCCAGATGATTCTGGACGTTTCAGACACTTCATTATATCGTCGACGGATCTTCAGATTTGCACACCCAACTCGATCAGACCATTAATTATCCTACGACGAAATGATTTCCACATGACCTTCACATTTTCATCATTCTTCAACTCGATTAGGTTGTATTTCACCCTCCCATTTATATCAATCTAATCCTCTCGAAACTCTACATTTATCACCCTTTTGTTATCGGAATCAGACAGCAAATTATTCAACGTTTCTTTCAAAGTGGTAAAGGATTTGGAGCCATCTGGAAGCTTGAATTTAACATGAGGGTTGTTATCGTTGTAATACACTTATGTGTTAATCAGAAATTGAGGAAGAGATATTTTTTTAGATGTATTTTCTCTATAATAAATGTTCCTATTTATATCAATGATGATACATTCTAGACCACACAAATATGTCGATGCAATCAGAATCATTCAAATATGTCGGCAAAATCTCAGCCGTTCAAAACACCATATTTTTATCACTATCGAAAATTTTATACACTATCGGAAATTTACGGTACCAGAAATTTCATAGGGTGTACCAGAAATTTAGGTGGTACTAAAAATTTCAATTCTTCTACTAAAAATTTTGTCTAGAAATTGTGTTTAACTCATCTAAGAATAAAAGTGAAATAAAAAAAAATTAAAGAAATACTATGTATAATTTTAAGGATGATATGTTAATTTCTCCGACTAATAGATATTGCGGATTTGAATGAACAGCCTAGCATGTAGTATTTCTTAAATTTGGTACCAATTTAGTGACTATTACTATTAGAGTGAAGATTCAATTTATTCTCCAAGATTAATGGTAAGACATGATAATTTAGTTAATTAAAAAATAGAAATAAATTTTAATCTTTGAAAAAATAAACTGGGACACTTTTGTTTTTACTTGTTTATTTTATACTTGAATGATTAAGAAAATATCGAAGAAAAAAAGAAAACAATAAATTATGTGGGAATTAATAAAAATTTAGTAGTTTACTGTAAGAATAAAATAAAATAAATGTCCTAAAAAATGGACATAATAAAAAGGATTTTTTTTCTCATTACAATCAACTGAAATTCACAAATTACACTAAAATTTAAAATTACAAAAGGAGCACAAATAATTTCAATCAAATAATATATAATTAAATCTATTTAATAGATATAATTTTTTATTTTTCATTTTTTATAATCTATTTCGTTGTCTTCTCAATTTAAGAGGAATGATTTCTATGATAGATATCATACATTTTAAATATTTGACTATAGAAAAATAAAGAAAAAGAAGTGTATATAAAAATAAAGAAAAGAAGTGTAGGATAATAAAAACTAATCTTCTCAAATGAAAAAGATTATAAAAAAAAAATAGATGACAAACATTCAAAAATAAAATAATAGCCTTTATTTAAGAGTAATTAATTATATAATATTTGATTATGTTTTTATCTATTAATACTATTATTTTAAATTTTATTATTTATAACATGCAAATAAATAAATCTTTTATTATAGTGGATTAAAGGTTGTGATCACGGTGCTTCTTGAACTAGAAGTATCGGTCTTGATGCGATGTCATTAATTAGTGTTTGTTATCTCCTATACGATAGATTTAGGGGTATTTACATATTTAACACTACAATGTTCAAGTCAGTTTGGATTCAATATAGTGGTAGGGAAAGTGGAAATTATAGACTGTATGATTGAAAGTCCTTTATGAAGATATTTATACCTTAGATTTGATGACACGTGTTGGATAATAGGCTTCGTGCTTTTGGACCTTTGGCCGACACTTAACAGTTAGTCCCTGATTTTTAATCGACACAAAACATATTATTACTTATTTTCATTAAAATACAAATTATTTTAACTTTTTATCATAGAAAAAGCTCCACCAATCGCATAAACTGAAATCCACCTGACATGGGATAGATAAAAAGCAACATAGATTCATGTTTGGATACGAAAAGGAAAGGTGTGGCTTAGGGCGAATTTTAGAAATGAGATGAGAGGAATCATGACGATAAGTACATACTTCCTTGATGGAGATGAAAACGGAATGACTACTAAAACAATGACCCTTAACAAGGTTATTGATGTGGCTTTAAATTGTTATTTCCTTAATGTTCACTTTGAAACGGATAACCATAACTTAGCTTGTATGTTTGGGGAAGACGAGTATCCCTAAATGAGTTGGGAAATACTGGGTAAAATGATAAGGATGAAGTTTTAGTCTCTTAAGAGAATTGGGGTTTCCTATAAACAATGCAGTGCTAACCAAATGCGCACCTGTTAGCTAAGCACGTCAAATTTACCAATGAAGTTAAATTAATGAAATTTGAACTTTGGTATAAAAAGAGAATTGCTTCTCCCACCCTAAGTGGTGGAGAAGTACCCTGCGAAAATCTGAAAACGCTCGCACGAATCCATAATTGTATTTTCAGACACATACGTTTCACACCAATACACATCATAAATGATACACATTTCATATTTTTCCAAAATATAATCTGAAAAATGTATCTCCTGACACACTCCATCAAAGATTTTGCTTATTTAACAACTTGGTGACAAATCCAAAAGTATACATTCGAATTTGTGAAGTGTGAATTTGGAAAAATACCACTTTTTGCATGTCAATAACAATTCCAGAAGTGCATTTTTGAAAATGTCAAGAATGAAATTTAATACAATAACATATTGAATGTTCTTC